ATGCTGTTTGTGAGGCCACTGCAACTAATCCTTTGTGAAATGAGAAGGAGACTTTCTCAGGGATGGTCACGTTGCTTACATTTTACATGTGTATGTACATACACCTAATATTTTTATACATAGTATGTACATAAACCCTGCATTGCCCCACTGTTGAGGACAGACAGAAGTCCACTGGTCTGTATGTTCTGGGGATCTTCCTATTATGAAAAGGCCTCTTAAATATTTTGGTCAATTATCAAACAGATAGCAATATGAACATTACAATATCATGAAGCTTTATAAAGTAAATATGTTACTGCACAGTGATAGTTGTAATATGTAATAGTTGTTCTTTTTTTTAGCTGAATGGGCTATTTACCATTGTTCTCAATAAGATCACAACCGTATACTGTGCCTTTCTTATCACATGGCAGCTCTACTTTGCACATAATTTCCATCTGTGGCTGCACATGGATCCTCCCAAAAAACTGCTGGCTATTTACTATCCATGCAAAGGCTGAAGGAAGCTAAGAAACAAGAAAGATCACGTCCATTGCAGCTGCCTACACTAAACACAAGTCATCCTTCTTCAAAGTAATGTTAAAACTTCACTTCTTATAGCTTATGATCATGCATGATAGTTAAGTAAAACACAAGATCTTTCTTCTGATGGTACCAGCATTCAGAGAAAAGTACATGCTTGATGACTTGCTGCAGACAGTCTTATTTCAGTCTCTTCTAAGAGTGGATAATTTCATTAAGTGATTATTGCTTTACATACTCAATTAAGAAGAGAGAAAATATGGACCAACATGCTTTAAGAGCTTTATATGTAAAAAAGAAGATCTTAGAGTTAATATGACATATGACAAGCAATTAATCTAACCAGGTCATGACTAGAATTCAACCTTATGAGAGCTTTAAAAAAAATAGCTGAACTAAGCAGCAACATTTTTGATAGACACTGGATTTTGTTAAAAAAAGAGCAAACTAATCACAAACAATGTGGCCACAGTAATTTTGAAATACAAACCACTTTCTCTAAAGTAAATGTAGGGAATTTAAATTCATGCAACAAATCTAGCCCAGAACACCCTTCTTGAGAGTTTAAATATGGGACTCCCTGAACCATAATGTAAGACTTGGGTGACTGAACAGAGATGGGATCAGCAATACCTCCTTTTCCAGTGACTTGTAAAAATAATCCAAGCACCCAAGCTTTAGTAAAAACCAGGCAATAATAGCTCTGATAGAACCAATTAATTTTAATAATAATAATAATCATCTAAAAAGTAAAACCAAGATAACATTAATATATTTAATCATGCCCTGAATTACACCAGCTGGTCTGCTCTAAAATGGATATCTTAAAGGTCTATCAAATTCAGCAACACTTGTTAGTTGCACTAGAAAGTTAAAAAAAAAATTAAATTCTTTTTTCCCTACTCTGTACATTCACAACTCCCATTATCTCTCTTCCTTGATATTTTATATCTTATAGTGTTTCTGTCTTTTCAACTGACTCATATGTCTCCTGACTAGATGTCTAAGAAAATATTATTTATCTCCATTTAGAATCCTTATGTAGCAGCTTTACAGAGGATGACTTTAATGAGGAGGATATCTGTCAATTCAGACACAAAAATATTTTTTCTAATTTATTTAGATTCTTGCCCAAAATGGTGCACACCAGTATTGATATGTAGAAAACCATATAATAATTTTAAGTTTAATTCAGGAAACATGGGCTTTCTATCTGCTATGTTCTCAGCTTTCAGTAGCAAATTATGAAAAGAAAGGGCACAAGAACCGTAACACAACTAATACAATTCATAAAGAAAACTAAGTCCTAAGATGATAAGTATCACAGCAAGGTATATAATTAAGAGTGGTTATAACAACAACATATAAATTAGATAATTATGGATTAAGCAATCCCTTGGGGGATTCTCTCTTGCCCTAGAAAACGTCTAACAAGCTCCTTAGATAGAAGGCAATGGGTTTTAAGTATCTGAGGCAGAATTAGGACTACAAAGAAAAACAAAACAAAAAAAAAGAACACACACCAAGATAAAAATCTTAATTTACAATTTAAAGATGGCTCCTTTTTTTTGTAGTTTATTTTAATACACTTACTAGTACAGTTTTCACCCATTAAATCTGCTGACATCTGTTGGCTAAAGAGCGCAGGTCAGATTATCAAGAAGTGCAATATCAAATGAACGTGAGCTGCTTCTTAAGGTGACAGTGGGGAGACACAAAACACTGCAGTGATTACCAGAAATGTAATTTTTTTGTTGTTGTTGTGCCTTACATCAATGTAATAATCCCAGGTGTCCTGGACACCAGACATACAATAATCTTCATAAATCCTAATTCACAGCCATACCATCTGTCAAAAATATTTTTTATGTCTCCTAATAGGTATGCTACATAATTGTATTCACAGTAGGACAAAAATACATGGTCGTGCTAATTTGCTTTACCAGTGGAATAGCTCATTATCAAAAATAAACCCAGTACATTATTGGGGTTTCTAGCACTCTTCATATATCAAAACTAACCCTTCCATTCTGTTATTTTCTATAACCTCAAATTCCCAGTGAAAGCAGATAAAGATTGAATTATCTGAAAATCGTACTATAATAATGGAAAAATCACAAGCATAAAAAATAAAACCCTAGTATCTCTTTCTATTATGATGGTGTTGCAGTTAAAATTAGAAGCTTTGTATTTCGCAGTCACAAAGAGACTAATTTAAGTTCTCGGCCCTGCAGAGCACTAACCCTTTTGGACCCAATCCAGAAAAGCACTTAAATGTGTGTATGACTTTTAGTTCATGAGCCTGAAGCAACTTCAGTGGGATCAGACATGTTTGATTAGGCCCAGAGCACTCATTACCCTGCTGGACAACACGTCCCTCTAGGACTGACTCAGTATGGGGAGATGACCCTCCCAAACATCCATCCCTACTCGTGGAGATGGAGATGCCATGAGCTTCTGTTCCTGCTGTCTGAAGCAGAAGGTGAAATGTTTGGGCTAAAGTTGGCCTTTGTAAACACCCTTCCTCCAACAAGTTTCTAAATATCTGCAGTTCCTCTAACATGAATGCAATATTGAAAAATTTAAAATTAACGCTGGCTGCATGTATGGCAATTGTTACAAGACATTCTGTAACAAGTTCCTAGTTCCAGTAAGATGATCTTGGTGTAAATCTTTATTTGGACATTATTTTAAATTATCTGTACAAGATTATACATAAACATGTACCTTAAAATTCAGTAATTGTACAGCAAACAAATACAATAGTATCTAAGTAAATGGGAAATTCCAAAGATGATGGCAGTTACTAAGAAATACTCCAGAAAATACTTTCTTCAAAAAACCAAACTCAAACTTCATTTCCCTTTTGAATAAGGAAGTGATCCATGAACAAAGTATTATTTCATTCTTCTTTAAATCACACTTCCAACAGCACTTTCCATGTTCCACCAAGTTTATATTTAATAAGTTGTTAAATAGTTTATATTTAAAAATAAAAGTAAATTTCCAGTAATTGAAAGATGCAGTTGATGAACTAAATACACTATTGTTCAGTTCTGCACTACAAATACTTGATGCTACTTTGCAGTCTAACAAGCATCTTATAACATACTGTTCTATGTTTATCAAGTATTCATGTTTTAATGCTAACAAAGTTATTATTTAAATTGATGTTCTATGTCTCAATGATATATTGAATATGTAATACAATGTTTTTCCAGTTTCTCTAAATTGGTACAGTTCTCCCACAAATTTATTAAAATTATACTCACCACTGCAAACAGGAATATCGCTTTCCTAAAGGCCAGAATTAACCATTTAATTTCTATGATCCTTAGTTACTCTATTTAATTTGAGAACTTGAGAATTCCTTTGAGTAAATGTGAAGTCCAAAAACTATCTAGACTGGAATGAATAGCCTAGATACTACCAAGTGCTGTATCTTAATTTAACTGATGCTGTCACAAGCCAGTTCATACAAGCAGCTTTGTGACATATAAGTCTTTTAATAGGAAGGTGAAAATAAATCTATTTTCACTGTAATATCTACTATTTTACTTTGAAAACTTTGCTTCTTCCCTCTAATTGATAAAGCTCAGAATCTATACAAGTTCCTCTATTCCTAAAATTCCACAGAACTGAACAAACCACTGGTGCTGCAATAACTGGTAGTTCACTGTACCCAGCAAGAGAATCACATCAAACAAAACTATGTCTGTGCAGTAGGTAACTACAACACCTATTAATTATACTGCCCAAATTGGCAGGACTTCAGCTGCAAAACACCCTGGCTCAGATGTGCATGGATCCAAAAGTCAGACTAAAAACTTTGTGATTAATTGGAACTTATTCATACTTCCACAAAACTTACAATGAATTAAAGATTTCAGTATAGAACACAATTTTTAATTTTAAATTAAAAAAGACTACAGATCTCACATACATATTTGACCACTTCTGAAGGTGCAACATTCACTGCTCTCTTCAGTAAACATGTATCAAATATTTAATAAACCAAAGAAAAAGAAGTCCAGATTTACAGCCACCTAGTAGTGAAACAGAAAGGAAACACACAAAAAGGACAGTCTAATTATACTCACACATTTACAATACATTACTTATAATGGTAGTAGTGGAAATAAGTGACTTATATAAACGTGTGACATTTTCCATCACTACTCACCACACTAATGCTTCTGTGCAATTCATTAAAATTTTAGCTACAGTTTCATTCTTGCACAACCCAAGTATAAAAATAAGATACTCAGCAATATCATATAGCCCAGTCTTCTATTATTTCTTTTTCAAATTGATAGCAGTGGGCTTAGTATTTATTGCCATCTAATCAGCAGCAGTGCTGCTTTTATGATAGATGATAAGGAAGGCTGAGTAGTCACTCCTGCAGGACATTCATGCTTCTTAAATGAGCTGCTACAGAAGTTTCATCATGTGTAGGAAAGGAAATAGACTCCTACCTGTGGAGGTTGGTTATAAGTTGGTCTGGTCTCTGGAAATGAAGTTTTATCCTTTGACTCTCTACTTTGGTCATCAACTGTGTCACCTAGAGAAGTGAAAAACCCTAATTAAATCACTAAAATCATTCATCTTTTATACAGAATAAGAAAAACTCTTCAGTCTTCCTAAAATCAAATTACATGATTCCCTGAGAAAGGGGAAACTCTGTTGCCACATCTGTATTTTACAAATTTGAATACAAGTAAAGAGAAAAACACTGAGAAGTGGATTGCAAAACCTGGGAACAAATCTGTGTCAATTATTTAAATTATTTAACTCCTTAAACAGTCTGGCACCAACAATTCTAAATGAAAGGGTTCAAGTTACTGTAGTTTAACTTCTTCGCTGGTTTTGGCTGTCCTGTTCCATTTTCTCCAGAGGTTTAGTTAGAGTTCACCTGGCAGATGCCTTTGGGAACAGCAGCCAGATTCTGCCCATGCCCAGTTAGCCTGGAAAGCCAATGACACCCAGGTCCATCCATGTTTGCTCCACACTGTCATCAGTTCCCCAGGTCTGACCGGTCACATCCCTCAAGTACAACGCAGTATTTGGTAAAGCATTTTATGAAAACAAGCAGTAATATCTGGTCTTTGTGCCTGCTTTTCAATACTCAAGTATTATTCCTAACAGTGTATGCTGAGAATCATCATCATCTTTGTCATAGGTCTTTAGTGCCTATTAATTCCATTAATGTCTACGCTTTCCAAGACCTTTTCTGGAGTTGAAAAATGCTTCTCAGGAAACTAGTAATTCTCTGCATAATACTCCAAAGCACTTGAACTCACAGTTCTTAAAAAAAGGAAAGGGGGGGGAGGGAATCAAAGGAGATGGGGCATCAGTCATTCCTCAGTTCCACCCTCACTACTTGAAAAACCACAATTTTTAAGCACCTATAAGGCAATAAGATAAATAACAACCATGAAAAGAAATAATGTCAAACCATTAGTTTATGTTTGTAATGAAGTAGAGTCCTACAAATAAAAATTATTAGGGGCCTTGTAAACACAGTCTGCCTTGGGGAGGTGTAAAAATGGTTAACAGATATATGAAGAGGACAGTAAGCCATATTCTTGGTACATTTGCTGTGGATGAGAGTGCAAACAAGTTTAAATTGTACCAGATTTAGGCTAGACGAGTTTCTCCAGGAGTAAGGCTACTTAAGCACTTTGAACAACCTAAGGAAATGGTTTCTCTAAACAGTGTTTCATCTCCAAAGGATTTCAGAGGTAGGTTGAAGAAACATCTGTCATGAATGGTTTCAATCCTGGCAAGACAAGATGAATGACCTTTTTGTGTTCTGTTCTAGTCCTACGTTCCATGAACAATGCAGGAGGAAAGACTCCACAGGATACCCTTCCCTGAAATCAGGATTTATCACGGGAACTTATGCTGGCAGCATGGAGGCTTGTGAAGATGTAAGCAGACTGAAGTGACCTGTACAAGAAGCCACCAAGTGTGCAGGGGTAAAGCTGCACAGCCAGTCAGTAGCAAAGGGACATATTGAGTAAAGTTTGGTGTATAAATAAACATACTAAAAGAGAGTTTCAGCAGAGATTTAAGAAACAAAGGAACCAATACCATTCCCAAGAAAGCACTCAGAAGTTTTTATATGAAAAAAACCACTAAAAAAAGAATTTCTTGTGTGTTAATGCTATCCAGAATATACTTTTTCCCTGTGATTAGTTTTCCTGAAGATGAAAAGACATATTGTTTTGAAATCAGAACCAAAGGTCAAAAATGTTCAAAGGAAAGGAAGAATAGGAACAGCTCATTTGGAGAGAAATAATTTTTTTTTTACTTCAAACTTTGACATCCAATTCCCAGAGTTCATAAGCCCTTAAAAAGGCCAAAAGGTAGCGATACCTATATTGTTTCACAATTCAAATTGCCTTTAAACACGCTGAGAAAAAACACAAACAAACACAAACAGTTCCTCTTACACAATCTTGATGTAAACAGGTATATAATTACAGTTTTGCCAAACTAAGCAACTGAAATCTGGCTCTGGAAAAAGATCACAAATACATGACTTTAGCAAGAAGGGCTACCAGATATCTGCCAACACTCCTCCAAAAAGTCTTTCATCAGAGCTGAACTGCAAATATATTCATAGATAAGGCCAGAGGGACCAGTGTAATCATCTGGCCTAACCTCCCGTAAAAATATAGGCCACAAAATTTCTTGAATTAATTTTTTGAACTAGAGCACATTTAAAGCTGTATTTTAGCCAAGAGATAAAACATAAAATGATTCATTTAACAAAAAATTAGATTCTGGCTCATATATCCCTTGGTTTAAGCATTGTGCAAAGGTTTAGTCATAAAACTCCTACAGAAAATATGTCATATATCAGAAAATGTCATATACTGTTTAAATTCTATAAGAATTAGAAATGAAGGGCACTTCATTCAGTGTAATTAGGTTTAGAAATCAGAAGCATAATCTATAACATGTAGAACATTACTGGGAAAATTTATCAGGAAGAAAATAATCATCCTTATTACTGTAAAGTAATCCCTTACTTACCAATGGAAAAATATTTTAAGTTAAAAAAGAAAGCAGTAGGCATATTTATCCTACTGGTCAGATAAGCCCATATTTCAAATCTTTAGTCTTGGGAGGCTGCTTTTAAGTTATATTATGCCTTTTTCAGGCCCAAATAATCCGTGTTGCACTGAAAGGTCAGACATGCATTTGTCCTTTCACTGAGCTGGTGCTGGAATTATACCAACATTCTTCAAGTTCCATTGGTATCTTCTTTTTCCAAGAACTGCAGCCAGGTGTTCCACAGGAAAGAAACACCCAGCCCAGTCTTTATTCTGTACTATGTACATCCTCCCTTAGAATGCAGAATTTTTGGTGTCTTCAGAAATCTGCATTCAGCTGCCTATCTGGACCTCAGCAAACTCATATAGAAAGGTTCAACCACAAGTTTGGCTTCTACTCAACAAGGAAGTGGTGTTTCTATTTATACTCTTTCCTCTTCCAGCATTTTGTTAACCTCAAGCTGTGTAGTCTCTTGATCAACAGACAGCATTTAAAAGTCTAGGCCACCCTCAGTTTAATAAATTAAAACCAATTGTAAATATATTTTAGAGTCCTCTATAATGTAGATTGCCATTATTTATCCTGGTCTGTGCAAGAATCCTGTGAGACAGTGAAGCACGTACAACACAGCAAGCAGTAACTGGCTACCAAATACACGGATTTTCAAATGTCACCTTCAGCTTCAAAAGGAAGACAGCTATTTTCCATTATACTTTAGTTAGTTGCTTAACTCTTTGTTGGCTGTTATTATCTTCTTTATCCTGCATAGACATGGCAAGAACAAAGAGTATTCTGACTTCTACTTGGCAGCAAAAAGACAAAAAGTTTTAAGAGAGGATTAGTAGGATCTGAAAATAGGAGAGAATGACTCTGTGGAAGCCCCAAGGTTTTACTGCAGTTTCTTTTCCCTCTTTCTCACTCATAAATCTTCCCCTCTCGGAGATAAGGAAGAAAGTCTAGGCACACTAATTTTAAGTTACCCTGCTCCAGGATAAACTAACAGAATTTCAGGCTTTAGTCCACCAGTAATGGCAGTGCTTTCAACCTAGGGAGGTATCTCACAAGTGCTGTAATTCGCTCTGCCCTCTGAACGTCTGAGTCTCAAAGGGCTTTGATGGTACCCCTTTCCTGAGTCCTGCTCTTCTTTCAGCCTCATTTAAGTAGCCTCTAGCTCCTTCAGCTGTGATGAAATATGTTTCTGCTCAGCCTCTTCCAGCCCTTCTTTGTTGTCCAGCACATACTGTCAGGGTCTCAGAGCTTCCATTTACCAGCCTATTCCCACCCAATGAGCGAACTGGAGACTGCAGAAGGGTGATACCAGGGAGCCTTGACAGAAGAACCCAGAACACAGAATTGTGGTGGATTTATGTGATCAAGACAATAGAAGACAGGACAGAGGGAAGACCTGTAGAAATTTTTGCTAATGAGCACAGAATCACAAAATGGTTTGGGCTGGAAAAGAACTTTAAAGATCGTCTATTCCACCCATCCTGAATGGATTGTACACAATAAACTGTAAGTAATTTAACTGTTTCCACTGGTGATCAAAGACCACTCAATGATCCATCTGAATCAAATAAGGCACTGGCCAGTTGCTATCCTCTTCAATGGGCCAGATGGGACATTGATGAATAGTTAGTTCTTCTATTTTCTTAAAAGTGGGACTATCATTCTGTTTAGTATTCGTGCTATAAAACCTACATATTAATACTCATTGACTTCCATATGCACATGGCCAAGACATAATAGCCTTATAAGATATATATAGTTGGTAAAACAATGAAGTCATCCTAGTTCCACGTCACCTCATCCTGGTTTCATATGAAAGCTTTTCATATCAACAGCAGTTTCATTTCAACAAGCTAATAATATCCCCTGAAAAACCACAGTATATCAGCAAAAAGGTTCTCCACAGCTGCAGCTTCCAGGAAAACAAAAGTTTAAGAGTCTATGCAGCATAAGAGTGAATAAGAAGGAAGTCTGGGTAAGCCCATGCTAAGGCAGAGGTCTGGTAAGTATTTGGTAGCCTCATATTGAGTTTCAACAGTGTAAAGAGTCCTACAAATAAATCTTTGATTGGGAGTAGAACTTAAACAGTATCTTCTCTAATTCTCCTGACAAACCATGAGAAAAATCTATATAAAGCCTGCAGTGAAAATCTAAAACATTGATTTCTTCAAACTTGTAAAAGGCAGGGGGGAAACTCTAACAAGGTAAACATTATCATGAATGTTTCAGCATTGACAGACATGAAGTAATGAGGTTCAGTCCTTTCCCAATCAAGAGGAATAGCAAATCCAACTACAACACATGCCACTGAAGATTATGGGAGTGGCACTCCAAAGTCTGATTTTGGTATCCCATCCTTCTGCAGGCAATCTTAACGTAGAGTCTTGATTTTCCTAAACAATTCTCTCTGGGTCTTCTCAAACTGTATCCCGCTATCAAGATCACAGTGAAACCAGAAACTCCTCTAGGAAATTTTTTTCCCCAAACAAA